GGCTAATTCCAAGGCGTTTTTGCGTGTTGGTAAAAAGGTGAGGTTCTTTAATTTTTGGGTTGACAGAACGAGTAAGCGTGACGTATCTATGTTTTGAAGATTGTTCGTGCGATGAGTGTGGCGTTGCTGTTTGCGTATTAGCGATATCACTTTTAATCCTGCTTGGGTCCCCTTGGGTTTGCTCGTCTGAGATCCCGGACGAGTTCGTTCGTATGGGTTAAGTTGTCCAGCAGCCCAGATGTATCTAATCCTTGCTTCAGAAGCAAGGACCAGGATCTCGCGGTGGAGTCTTCATCTTTCTGAAGGGGAACCAGCCTCACTGCACACAGAGAGTCTGGTGACGCTTCAGTTTAAATTTTAATTCAAACACAGCACTTGCTCCTCCAAAATTTTATCTTCTGTTTTTTTCGTGTTTGTTTTCTTTTTTTTGTTTTTTTTTCTTTATAGTAGCCATTCTCCGTAATTCGATAAGTTTCTGTCTTTTTTTCTTCAAGCTACGTGGCATACCCGTGGTTTTATCAGTGAATAAGTATCTACTAAATATCACTAATGAATAAAATAAGTATTTAGAGTCCTGAAGCACACAATGAATCTTTTTTTCCATGCACGTCTGCTTTTGCTCTGCGAGTGACTTTCCTCAGAGATCTTGAGAAGGTTGTGTGCATGGTTTACGCAAGATAGCCAGCTCTCATTACCAAGATAACACGAAATCTAAAAGTCCTTGCAGTGTTGTTCACCTCACTCAGCACGCAGTTGTCAGGCTAGTGAAATTTATTTGCTTGCATTGCAGGGATTTTCCCAAGTAACGAGGCAGGCGCAGTATAAGACGTTTGCCATATTGGTGCAGCCTTGAGATATACCAACTTATTGGTGGTTACATTTCACTGCGCTTTCCAGGAGGTTGGGCAAACAGTCATCATTCCTTTCGGGTGACCTACCAGCCGTTGCCCATCTTCGAGTAAAATTTCCCCAGCTTCCAAACGCTTAGTTACAGCAACGGGAGACCGTGGCATGGCAGGCGACATCCTTCCGGTACAACTTTGGTGCTAGTTCCCTCGGTTACGACAGAATGGTCCACCAGGAATTCATAATATAGACAAGCTCGAAAAATTCCTCGACATTGGAGGACTCGAAGCTCCGAAAGGTTCCACAAAGTCACTACACATCCGTTTCAGGAACATCAGAAAACATTTCCAGTTCCAGAAGTCGGGGCAAGAACAGCGATAAGTTATGATTATGTTATGATATGATAAAGTTATGATTTTTTTGGCGAAAAAAGGTTTGCTTAACTTAGCGCCAAACCTCTAGCTGTATGCCGCTGATATCCACAGAAAGACAGATTTACAAAAAGTGCACATATTTGTCGTTCTAACCGTAGATAATAAATGCACTAAAGGGTAAAGCTTCCACCATTGATCTATTCCTTTTCAAAAGACTGCATGCATTTTGCAAGGACTTCTAAATTGTTATTGCTTTTCGATGCGAGATTTTTGGGTTATACCATGACTCTGGAGAGCCATTGTTTCTTTTCTGACCTTGGATCCAGTACCAGTTTGCCGGCACCGGATGGGTAGAATGCTTGGTCGGCCGGGGCGAGAGTCGATCACCGGAACGTGCTTGTGGTCAACGTTGCCGCTCGCCAATTTCAGCAGCTGCAGTTTACTTTTAGCCTTATATAGCATGACCTGAGGAACCAGTGATTCTATTCGGTCCCTAGGTCTAGTACGCCATTTCAGCCGGACGCTGCAATTTGCTTTCTGGCCTATACCATGACCTGGGGAGCCATTGTTTCTTTTTTGTCCCTGGGGCTAGTACCAACTAGCCGTCTTCGAAGTGATAGGATATTTCTTTGGACGGGACAAAGGCGTATTTTTTCATAATACATCGATTTCGAATTAACATGATTTCTTTGTTAGTGACTTTTTTCTACGTTTCTTCCAAAATCGATATCTAAAAACGCCACCCACTCCTCCCCCGATCTAGAAATGGGTGGAAATTACTTGTTCTGGCTAGGGTTCCAGCCAATGAGCAAATGAGGCTTTCTCTCTCCACGCTTCCTTGACCCATGACCAATATCGCAAGTTTTCAGACTATTGAGCTCGTCGTCGGCGCAGTGCGGCTTGGTGGGGACACCGATGGTACTCAGCGCAGCCCGTTCTCATCACCTTATGAATACCTCTGAATTCATGTTCACCAGGCTCACTTAAGGCTCACTTATACCATTTCATAGCTTTGCAGAGACCCACTGGTCTCACCTAACTGTAGTTAAATAACATGGGCTAAGGAAAAAGGAACCAGCGAACGTGCAAAATGCCCCCCCCTCCTTTCTGCTTTTTTTTCCTATATCTCCGAGACCCTTCTACGGCGAGTAAATGCCTCTGAACTTCCACAGTGACAGAAATTCCTTTGACAGATGCCTGGCAACCTGGGCCTCGATAGGCCTGCCACTAACATACATAACTGCCTGGACGAGCGGTTGGATGCGTCGGATCTCAGGAGAGAGGGCTTACTGCCTGAAGTCTGCTTGCTGCTGCTACAAGGGTTCCATAATTTGCACGCGAATCGCAATTTCCCTTGCTTGACTCCGCTCCCTGCATGCGAATACTCAAAAAGGAACTCCTTCCGTAAATATGCCTCAGTAATAGCTTTGTTGACACAACGGCGCCCCAATTATCAAGCATAGTCTTCTTTTTTTAGTCTAGAATCATTCCAATGTTACTAGTTATTCCCTTGAGATATTTCCTTGGCTTCCGCCTTGTTATGCTAATAAAACACTGGGTTCTAAGCAGCTCATGTAACAAACAAATTCATAAAAACACCCCAAGACGGCAATCCGGAAGGGTAATGCTTGGTTAGTCGGGTAGGCAACCCAGTAAACATGCGATGGCTGTAAAATTCCGCGTGATTCCATAAACAGCTCATGCTTATTGGGGATGAAAGGGTCACTGAGCAGTGGGGTAGTGGTAAGTGGTGCCGTTCACCCCATGCCATTTGCAAGATTTGAAGCCTGGATCAAATCTCGCCAAGGATAGCCAAACCATCTAGTCCCTCCGGGGTCGCTCAATTGGCGCCATAAGTACCTGGAGGATAGAAACTGTGATTCGTACCTCTGTTGACCCTCTTTACACAATAAAGACCAAGTTCAACTCAAAATGCCCCTACGATTCTGGACGGAAATGGTAGGCTCGGCGCAATCCAAAAGGTCTATCAACGGCGTGTGCTTTATGCGCGCGCGAGCGGAATGCCCCTCCTTTATCTAATATTCCTTTATTCTGACACACTGGCAGCTCTGGGTTCAAAAGCTCATGCATAATTTTGGTCACCACGGGTGGGGAGAGGGCGGGTCCTTAAGGTCAACAAGAAGAGTGAGGGATTTACAAGGCCAAGACATAGTCTCCCCTCCGCCTTAGTTTCCTAAGGATGAGGCTTCCATGAGCATACTCATAATAGGCGAGGTGGTGTAGTGAAGAGTGGCGCCGCCCACCAAAACTGCAATCCTTGCGTGAGCTCACAGGCTTCAGCGTCTATGCTTGGCTCGCTTAATCCCTCGCTCTTTGAGCTGGTCTTATACCCTAGGGGACATGGCGTGAACCGCACGTATAGTTTGCGATGTGTTCCATTCATCCGGATGGATTTGAAAGCTTCTTATTCAAAAATAAGCTTCTTGGCTGACTATTCTACGAAACCTCTAATAGCTCCTTCATCGGGGCACGTCTACATCTATCTCGTCGATTAATCGCCTTCTGACGTCCACATCCGCTGCTGCTGGTGCTATCCACGCTCATCTGAGATGCACCGTATCTGTTGGTTCATGAGGGACCTCTAATCTTGATGATTTCCTAAATGAGAATTCTTTTCTTTTTCATAGATGATTCAGCTGGGGAATAGTTGTGAGCATTACGGTTGCTAATTGCGATGCGATGCTCATTTGCTATAATTCACTCTCCTCACGCATCGTTTTTTACCTCCCCCCCCCCCTTCTGCTATGCATCCATTCATTTCTATGGATTCATTGGTTCCACCGATACCTGTCAGTCTGTTACGGTGGAATTCAACACGGACCACGTCGTACGTTGGGGATTCCCTAGCGCGGAGCCGTATTTGACCGCTGGGGGAGGAGGGTCGTATTTGGTCTGAGGAACTTTTGATAGTAGATTCCTCTCGCTTCACGGACGCTATAAGAGGGTCGTATTGGCTCGTTGTTGGGAGAAAGGGGGTCGTGTTTGCTTTTTGCTTTCGAGAGAATTTGTGTCGTTGGGGAAAATTCCCCCCCCCCCTAGCTGATGGCACCGCCAAGGTTAAACACAACTGCCATTTCTGATAGTTGAAACCACTAGCTGGTTACTACTCTCACCATCAGACAGCAAAATTTTGAGGAAAAAATTTCAGGGAAATTCCGGAGGCTAGAAAAAGCCAAAAAAGTGGTAGTTGAGAAATCTAGAAAAGTGGTGGGCAGGATGGGAAAGGGGAGGGGGTCCTACCAGAGGAACGAGTTGAGATAGCGGTCGTATTTTTCGAAAACTCTGCTCAGCGGCAGGACATCATCTGATTCAACGGGCTACAGAACCACTGCACGGCCGCTTGGAGATCTCTGCCAAGGGGTGTTTCCCCTGTTGCCTGCGGATGGACCCTTACCCCCCCCCGCTGATTGTTTTTTTGGGAGGGAGAATGGCAGTTCTTTTTGTGAGAGAAAGAGAGGGAATTTTTCAGGGGGAGTCGTACAGGGAGTGTCGTATTTTGCGAAAATCTTACACAAAAGCAGGATGCACCCTGTGCAAGACGCTGGGCTCTCTCGCAATGAACTTTAATCCTCTGAGACAAATTTCATTGAACTTGTTTTGCTCTAGTCACCGATATTCATCGGACACCAGCTGTCAGGCGGGTTGAACCTGCGTCTCTCTCATGTTCCTCCAGTCAATCCCCTTCCTCCTCATTGCGTTTTCCTAACCGCGTTCGTTGTTTGTTCCATTCAGCATCAACTTACTGTTACTGTTTCCAGAATGAAATCCAGTGGTGATCCGTTGAATATGACTGTCGTTTCGGGGCTGTTTGATGCTACCGTTGTCGATGCTCCTTCGAAAGGCAACCCTCCGGAACCGATTTTCTCCGATTACCTCGAGATGACTTCACTGGTCCTCATGTTTATCATCGGAGCTCCATTGAACCTAGCAGCCTATACTCAGGTACATTCCGCATTTTTTAACAGATAATTGAGTGGCACTGCTTTTTCACGAAACCTTCTTATTTATCTGCTGGTTTCGAAGGCACCTTTCGCAATTGCAAGCCGTACGTTGTAGTGGTTTCCTATAAACAGGAAGTGCTAAGCGACTCGTTAGTGAAAAATTCGTCAAAAAGTGCCCTCCTGCAAAAAAGGCGCACCATCGGTGGTTCGCGGTCCAATTAGTTCCCATTAGAATCAGCACGGTGAGTTGGCTTATCGCGAAACGTGCCTTCAACAGAACCCGCATCAAATCGGTAATCATTTCATAACCGCATCTATATACGAAATTCCCTTTAATTTTTTTTCTCGTTTTGATGTTCTGTGCTATGGGGATGCTCCCTAGCGTATGGCTTCAACTCGAAGGCCATGACAAGAATGAAGCTACAGGAAGTTTTGCAGGTTACACAGGCATATTCCGCGGTTGCACGGTGGGTGGGATCTCATTCTTGTTCAAGAGGTCCGATGCGCACCCTCTGAGGCTGTCCCTGTTCGTGATCCCAAGTGAAGGACAAGGGCGCCATGGACGTCATGAGCCGAAGTGACTCCACCCATAGAAGTTGCCCCACCTATTTTTGGACAACTATGCCACCGGTCCTATACCTGTAGCACTAGGCTGACGCAGCACGTCAGTTCTGTGTGGATCGGGCCCTGCTTCCTGGAGGGTATTCCTATTCATGAATACTTTGTCCCCGGCCTCTCGCTCGCGCAACAGTGCCCCTTCTATTGGTGTTACT